CTAACTCCTGTTTCTGCCTCTAATATGTCTCTGACTAGACCTTCATGCCTGAGAAGGTGTCCTACCAACCTATCTCGCCTATTTTTTATTGACTTCCGTAGAGTATACTGTTCTCCTATTCTTTCTAATACCTCTCATTTCTAACCTTTTCTATCCACGTTATCCTCATCGTTCGCCTGTAACATCACATTTCGAAAGCTTATAACCTTTTCTATCCAGCCGCGCCCACTGTCCATGTTTCGCACCCGTACAACGCCGCGCTCCAAACATACACCTTTAACAATCTTTTTCGAATTTCTAAATTAACCGTTTGCGAGCATAGAAGTGACTTCTTTTTATTAAAGGCGACACGACCTTGCTTTATATCCCTACTATTCCTTCCGTCCTGACTTATCTGACTTAAAAAAAATCAGCCACTTCTTATTTTTCGTCTCCTATCCTTATATTCGCTCTATCCCTACTTTTCTTTCCCTTGCATACCAGTATTTTAGTTTTACTTTTATTTATTTTCATACAGTCCTCCTTGCTAGATGCTAATACTGCTATTTAAAGTAACAAATCAAAAAGTATTTAAAAAACCATTTTTCACATTTCTGCTCGTATAGAAGACGTTATTAAAACGTTTAATTTTGAACATTTTTCACTTCATATAGTAGACATACGATAGTATTCACATTGTCAGTTTGTTCATTCAACTATTGGTTTAATTTTTTATATGGAAATTCGTTTCTATAAGTGAAATATTTCGTGGTATACGATGGCCTGGCATAATTGGCAACGTTGTTCACTTTATGCGGGGTTTCCATTACGCGACGTTCACACTATCGAGTGTCTACTGTATTTTTGTCGCATAATTTCTTACAATATACGATCATTATTAGGTTTCATAACCCGTCCGAAGAAAAAGTAATGCTCAATAGGGTTACACCCCCTTTAAACGACGACGTAAGACTATCAGTAGACGATTACAGAAATAAATTGTACGAAATTATGACGGTCCATCACAATTCGCGATCCGGAAAAATTATCGTGTCGAAAGCAAAGACAAGCACCGCAAAGACTGACGTCGCTAAGCCGGAAGTGAAGTCAAAAGTCTATAAGGAAACCGACAGATATTTGAGAAATCATCGTTGTGTTGCAAAAGAGACGCCGTATCAATCGCAATCGGAACCAAAGTTTCGTCCTTCGAATATGAAATTTGTCAAATCGACTTTAAACATCAAATCCGATTCCAAAATACCAAAAGACCATCAAGATCCGAAGCAGAGCCGTCAAAGAACTTTGACGAAATCGCAAGGGGATTCCAGCAACATGACGAGAATGTCTGACAATCAAAACAAACACAGCAGCGTTAATCTGAATAGAGATAAACAGGTGAGAAAACGTATAGTTTCGAGGGGTAACTCTTACACTAGTTCGTTTATTAATAATGGTCCGGGGGTCATTACTCAAAGCGCCTTGATGGAATTGAGAGCTGCTGGAATGCGGTAATGGACCGTCTTTTAGGATATACAATACTGCAGTTTTTTTACTTATTTTTATACCACAACGATTTTTTATAGTGATTTATTGTACAGTAGGGCTCTTTTTGGACCTTACAGTATACAAGTATTGTACCTATTTTTGCACCGGGTGATTTTTGTCAATATAAGAAATTTTAAGATTGCTTTTGTGTTTTTATTTCATTGAAAAATAAAACTTATTAATAATTCCATATACGTAAATAAACCAAGTAAAAGTTAAGTTTGCTGTTAGAAAAAATAAGTATGCGATGATACAATTATTATTCCTGAAATTCTAAAAAATATTTTTCCCTTTTTTTATATCAATGGACGAGTAATGGTGATGTTTTTCTGCGTTGTATGAGGTGGACAATTCTGATAAACATTCATTTCAAAAATAAATCTTGAATTGAGATATCTATACACATTTACATGGAAAAGATGTAAAGTTCGTAGTCAGTAATTTATGTCAACTGTTAGACGTTTCGATCTCATTAGGTCTCATCAGCACGCCCGATAAATCATCGCCCAAACCGAAGGCTGCTCTACAAAAACGATAGAGATAGTATTTATTTTTAAATGGAGAACCTAATTCAATAAGTCAAAATATAATGTTCCTAATGTATCTCTTAACAAAAAATATTGATTTTAAATAATTATAATATAGATACTATAACTTAAAAAGAATTTGCAGCAATCCGAGCATTCATGTATCATGCTTTGTTTTTTGTCCTTTTGTTAAACAGTTTTTAAACGTAACATTGAACTAATAACAGTATTGTAGAGGTAGGTGCAGCCTTTACAATTAAACTGTTTAGGGTTAGGTCAATATTTCTATTAGACGATTAGGAGGAGCTTTCAACCGAAACGTGGGTGGAAACGTAAATACAATAGTCCCTGCGGGTTAATATATATATTTAATGGACAAACTTCTTTTAATAAAAAGTTAGTACTTAGTTACAAACACAATTATTATGTAAAATACGATCTACTATTTTCTTTTTTTTTTCTTTGAAGACCGCAAAATTTGACTTTATAATAAAAAATATTAATTCGAAAAGAATGAATGGAATGCTTCTCATGTAAATTCATGAATGAATTATTGACAATACGTGCGCTTTATTATGATTCGTGGAAACTCAGACTGAGACTATGAAAGAAATCCTAAGGTGCCCTTATATTTACATAATTCGTACCAATAAAAAAAATTCTATTGAATTAGACACCACAATATGTACCTGTATTGTTAGTGATTGATAATACGGAAATTTAAAATTGTGTTAAAGTGTACTGATGAGGGGACCGTCTATGTAATACGTAACGCGGTTAATGGGTAGGGGGGTGTTTTGTAAAATGCTACGGTGACTTACAAAAGGGTGACTTATTACTGTAAACGCGATAGTAATTTTTCGGAATTCACGTTATATAAATCGCTTTTGTAGGGAGGTACGTAAGTTTGATGAGGAGGTAAAACAAATCGTTACGGAGCATTATTGAGGGGGTGGGTCAAAAATCTTTTTTTTTATCTTAAACTCTTAAAAAATGTTCATTCATATGTATATGTTTTGCAATTTTGAAAAACATACAATAAGTGAAATTTCTTTTGGTAAACGTCTAGATGATGGCCTCCACCCCCTTCGTGGGATCGAAAGAGGAGGTCTCCCCTACCACTGTACCATAAAAAGTTCGTGGCGGTCTCACCCCCATAAAAAGTTATGGGGGTTAGATGGGATTGGGGGTAAGGGGGTCGAGGGTAGTCACCTGAGTAAAACCCCATAAAAAATTTGCGGCGGTCTCACCCCCATAAAAAGTTATGGGGGTTGAAAGTTGATTATTTTGACAATTTTCATACACTATAATTCAAATAAAATTCAATAAAAAAAATATTTTCAAGCGGCTGGAGGTAAGGGGGTTCGAAAGAGGGTGGTCACTTGAACAAAACCCGATAACCTAACCTAACCTAACCTACCCTATTGATAAAGATATTTAAATAATGTTTTATATAACTTTCTCAATATTTTTATGTATTTTTCATTAGTTTTACCTTTGAATATTGTTTAAAAATGACTACATAAATATTTACATTCCTAGAAATGTATAAAAATTGGCATATTTATTAACTTTGAAACCCCATAACTTTTTATGGGGGTGAGACCGTCACGAACTTTTGATGGTACAGTGGTGGGGGAGACCTCCTCTTTCGATCCCCCCCACCACCACCCCCGAAGGACCTTTACCTTTCTTTTTATTAAAGGCGACTTGACCCTGCGCTATCTTCTGTTGTAAATCTCTACTATTCCTTTCATTCTGAATTATCTAACTTCCGAATAGATATCAAAAATGAGACACTTCTTCTTAATTGTTTGTCTTCTACCTTTATATTCGCTCTTTCCCTACTTTTTCTTCCCTTGCATATCATCAGTACTTTCGTTTTAATTTTATATATTTTCATACAATAAGATAAGGAATTCAAGCGATTAAAATATACTTAGGATTGAAAACAGGCGACAGGTACAATAAGTGGGTACCTGCTATAAAGAACTACACCATTACTCATTCGTTGTTATGGTTTAGAACTACAGGTAAGTACATGTAAAAAAGTCGAAATTCTCTTTGTAGAACGCCAATATTAATAAGTAATCCGTATCTATTACGTGTATTATACTACGATATTTACTACAACCTACTTTTAAAACATCTTTTTTATCTAATGTGTAGCAAGAAGAAATAGCAACATTTTCAAGGGCATTGCTGGTATAGTTAATAATTTCCTACATATGTGCATGAAAATGTAGTGATAATATTTAATTACATGTCCAGCGGCGCGACGATTTACACTACGTAAGTCTTACAAATTTTCGTAAATATGTTACGATTAACGCAATTATTAGTAAATTAGTTACAACTAAATGCTTTGTACATTATTATTTTATGACCGTTATAAATGTTTATCATACTTTAGAGCCACATAACACATAAAATGAAAATTCATGCGCCGGCACTGAGTATCTCTCAATATCAGACTTATCGTGAGCAGTTCGCAATCGAATTAATTATTCAAATATGTAATTAATTATACACAAGTACTTTTAAATAATTAATTACTGTTATTTCTGAGAACTTCAGTATTTTCTGCTTAATAAACTCCAATTAAATTTTCACCCGAAGATGCCCTTGTAAGATGGAACAATATCAATTGTTAAGGATTAGCAAACGATTGTGAGATTGTTTTTGTTTAAAATTACAACTGCTGGTTTTTGCAAAAATAGAAAGATTAAAATGTACCACTTACTTTTGGGCTATGTAATAATACATTTTCTGTAAAATTAGTAAGGCAAAGTATTTATTTAAATTGTAGTAAGTACTTGTAGTTCCATTAGAATTATCGTAAATACTTAAGAAATTGTCTAATGCCTTTAGAAAAATACATTTTGCTATCGGAATAGTTGTGATAAAAGTGCAATTAGGGGAATGTCGGTTTCATGTTCCACGTTATTTTCAGAAGATAAGGCAGGTGCCTGGTAGTAATATTATGTATTTCTTCTTGGTAAGAGGAATGCGAACAAAAACGTGATTTAACAACAAAACAACTTGAATTACATTTTTAAAGCCCTAATGTAAATACCTGACTGACTTCTTGGGAAGGATGCTGTAAATGCGCTATAGGCATTATAAAATTAATGTAAGTGTACAATGTACCAATAAATAAAATATCTGAACGATTATGTAACAAAAAGGAAAATTAATATTTATAAACGCGAAAATCGAGTCTTCCTGAGAATTATTGTTTCCAACAGGATAACAATCTCAAAATAAATATTCTGAAGATACAACAGATCACAAAAAGTTTTTAGTCTATTGGGATCCGTCAAATGGGAGGAGCCTAAAAACATGGCGCCGATTAGGGAAAATTTATCGTAGTTCCTATAGTGTACCGTGCAATTTCCAAGTTTTTAAATTACGATAAAATGATAAGTATTGACACAATATGTGATTGGGCTGACACAA